CCTCCTCCTCCTCCTCCTCCTCCTCATTCTCCTCCTCCTTCTCCTCCTCCTCCTCGTCATCCGATGCGATGGCCTGACGTGAAGGGTAGGGGTTCGTATCCTTGCTTGTTGGAGTGTCACAGCGGGTCACGGCGGCGTCAGGAACTTTCGCGTGTCACAGCGGCGACCCTAGCCACATGCTATGCCCTGTAAGCGAATAGCGTGCCGCTCCGCTTCGCGAGACGGGAAGCTTCGAAGGTCCCGGGACCTTGTCGTTCGGGGACCGGGACCGGGAGGGGACCGGGACCGGGAGCGTGTCGCGCCGAAGATTGGTGGGCCAGAACTGGCGGCGCGACACGCTGGCACGCTAAGCTAATGCTCCTGACCGTAACCCGGCCAAAGAGGGACCAGCCTCTCAAGCGCGCAGTAAGCAGGGGACCTGGTCACCGCCGCGGCGCCGCCGAGGCAAGAGAAAGGCAAGTCAGGGACGCTCGAGGGCGGGGAGTTCCTTCTCCTCCTCGTCCTCCTTCTTCTCTTCCTCCTCCTCCTCCGCCTCCTCCTCCTGCTTGGCACATTGCTTGGCAGATTGCTTGCCAGATTGCTTGCCAGATTGCTTGCCAGATTGCTTGGCAATCTGTGGCAGTGCTCAGCAATGGCTGGCAATCGTTGGCCTTGATTGGCAGTTTTGGTCTTGTGTGGCTTTGCTCGGCACTGGTTGGCACTGTGTGGCAAGCGGCAAGGCAACAACAAATCAAGACCAAGGAATCAGTAAACCAAGGAACCAATGAACCAAGGAACCAACCAATACCAAAGAACCAGGGAACCAAGACCAAGGAACCAATGGGCCAAGGAAACACGAAAAAAAGATACAAGGGCCCAAGGAACCAAAGAACCAAGACCAACCAACCAAGCGCGCAAGGAACCCGGGGAAGGCAGCAAGGAGCGAAGACCAAGGAACCAAGGAACCAGAACCAAGGAACCTGGAAAAGGCCAGTCGGCGCCGGCCCGCCACCCAACAGTTCTTCAGGACATCCCAGAATCCCGACGGCAATGCCGACTTGGAAGAAAGTTTAGAACGTTTTTCAGAACCTTCTGAGCAGGCCCGCCCCCTTTGCCATCCCCCCTGGGCGCGCCCCCGAAATCTGGAGGGCTGCTGAGTACGAGGTGGCTCCTCGCACGCCTCCTCCTCCTCCTCCTCCTCCTCCTCCTCCTCCTCCTCCTCCTCCTCCTCTTCCTCCTCCTCCTCCTCCGCCTCCTCCTCCTCCTCCTCCCCCTCCTCCTCGTCCTCCTTGTCCTCCTCCGGGCCCGTGGCACGCACGCCCGAGACCACGGCAGCCCGAGAACACTGGCACTGCTCTGTCCCGCCAAATCTGGGCACGTCCCAGTGTCTTGGGCCGGGGCCTCCTCGTGGAAAGCTCTGCCCGGGCCCCAGAAGCGGTCACGGCAAGTCGTCTGCGGGATCGTTCTCCAGGCCACCCAGAGGCATCAGAAGCCGCCGCAGCCCAGCTCGGATTGATTGTATTTCACGCTATCTGGCCTGTCCACATCAATGGCACGCTCTGGCTCTCCCGCGATGCCACCTCGCGAGCTGCCTGCTGCAGAGGATCGGCATGCAAGAGGAAAATCACGACCCAGACTGCAGGGATGAGAACCACATACGTCGCATGTCCTGTGCCGTCTCTCCATCGCATGCAGGATGTACCACACCTAGAAGGACTACCAGGGCTCCTGCCCACTTCCCATAGATTCCCATATTTTCCTGGGAATCGAAGATCCCCTCCTGAATCATTGAGGCCCGCGCCGCGGCCAGAGCATCGCTCCGTCTGGGAGCTCCCCCGCACGGCGGCCGCTAGCGGGCGAGCGTCGGGCACGGAGCGGATCCGCCCTCACGGATTCATTCGCTCCTCCTCCTCCTCCTCCTCCTCCTCCTCCTCCTCCTCCGCCTCCTCCTCCTCCTCCTCCTCCTCCGCCTCCTCCTCCTCCTCCTCCTCCTCCTCCTCCTCCTCTCCTCCTCCTCCTCCTCCTCCTCCTCCTCCGCCTCCTCCTCCTCCTCCCTCCTCCTCCTCCTCCTCCTCCTCCTCCTCCTCTCCCTCCTCCTCCTCTCCTCCTCCTCCTCCTCCTCCTCCTCCTCCCCTCCTCCTCCTCCTCCTCCTCCTCCTCCTCCTCCTCCTCCTCCTCCTCCTCCTCCTCCTCCTCCTCCTCCTCCTCCTCCTCCTCCTCCTCCTCCTCCGCCTCCAACTTTCCTCCACCCGGAATTCCTGCGGAAGTGGCGCAGGAGTTGAATGAGGAACTCTCCCTCCACGGGAGGGCGCCGCCCGGCCCCGCGCCCGAGCGCGGCCGTCGCGGAGGGCACGCGGCTGCAGGCGCTCGGTGGGTCCTGCGGCGTGTCGCAGGAGCCCCGTCGGCGTTGGCGCCATCGCTGGCGCCGTCTGCGCGCCGCCGCCGGTTGCCGTCGCTGTGCCAGCGGGGAGACGGTCAAGAGCTCTGGCTTGGAGCGTGTCGTGCCGCGGGTGTTTGCCCACCGCGCTGCGGCGCGGCGTGGCATCCACGGCCTGGTCCCCGAGGGTCAACGCCCAGAGCCTTTTCCAGCACACCGCCCCGCGGAACGGAGCGATGCACCTATCCGCTCGCAGGGCATCGCGTGTAAACTGGGGCCGCCGCGGCGACAGCGATCCGCTATCCGCTCGCAGGGCACCGCGTGTCGCTGGGGCCGGCGCGGCGACACGCCAAACAAAAGGTCTTTTCCGCACGCTGCTGTTTGAACGAAGTCGCGGTGGAGGAAGAGGAGGACGACGACGATGGCGATGACGAAGGCCAGGTTGCGGAAGAGAGCCCCGTCGGCGCGCGCCGTTCGGCGTTGCCGTCGGCGTCGTTCGGAGACCAAACGACACGTGCGCGTGCCCAGACGTGCGGGCGCATCCGACAGCATCAGGTCGGCCGTTTTGTTCGAGTTCGGCCCGCGGGGGCCCTGGCTGGGCACCAGGGCCGCCAAAGGACGGCTCGGGATGGAACCGGCGGCTGCGACAGGGGCGGATAGCCGAGGGGTTCCGATCGCCCATATCTTCGACCACCAGGGCCGTCAAAGGACGGTTCAGGATGGAACCGGCGGCTGCGACAGGGGCGGATAGCCGAGGGCGGATAGCCGAGGGGTTCCGATCGCCCAGATCTTCGACCACCAGGGCCGTCAAAGGACGGTTCAGGACGGAACCGGCGGCTGCGACAGGGGCGGATGGCCGAGGGGTCCCGATCGCCCATAGCTTCGACGGGCCTCCCCGGCGAATGCGTCTCTTGCCCGCCCCTGGGCTGTCCACGCCTCTTGCCGCCTCCGCCGATGGAGAGGCCCGCCCTGCGGGAGTGGGTCGGGACCTCCGGGGGCCCACGGGGGAGATGGTCGGCACTTCCAGAAGAGGGCTGCGGCGCGCTGCAGGAGGCGCCCGTCGCTGCCAGCGGTCACCCCGGTCGTGCCAGGGGGAGGATGAGGAGAAGGAGGGGGAGGACGAGGTCGCGGGGGGAGAAGTGCAGGATGATGATGAGGAGGAGGAGGAGAAGTGTAAGTCCAAGGTGCATCATCGATGTTGCAGTGAGACATCCCTCCAAGTTCCCTCTTCATAGGTTCCTACAGTAATTGTTTCCATTGCAGGAAAGGGCCAATTAAAAGGCAACCGTCTGAGAATCCACAATCGTGCCACATATACCATTCCTGCTATCCCAACGCCGCTGATCAACGTCATTTTTGCGTTTTGTCAATCCTAAATTGTGCCCGGATGCCCGAACACAATTTCTGGGGCGTCAGCACCACGAATGAATGCTTCTGTTGTGTTCTGACATTTTAAAACCATGTCAGAACATAGTACGTGCATGGTCTCATAGTAACAGGCACGCAGGTACGCATGCGAATATGTGTAGATATATAGACCAAAGGATGTAACGACACAAGAAAGTGGCACCTCCTCCTGCTCCTCTTCCGCCTCCTCCTCCTCCCCTGAGAGTTCATCATCAGCGTCATCAGCATCACCATCATCATCATAATCAGCAGCAGCAGCATCATCATCATCATCATCATCATCATCATCATCATCATCATCATCATCATCATCATCATCATCATCATCACCATCGTCATCGTCATCATCATCATCTTCATCAGCAGCATCATCATCAACATCATAATCAACATCATCATCATCATCATCATCAGCATCATCATCATCATCATCATCATCATCACCATCACCATCATCAGCAGCAGCAGCATCATCAGAATCAGCATCATCATCATTATTAGCAGCATCATCACCACCATCATCAGCTTCATCATCAGCAGCAGCCACATCATCCTCATCATCAGCAGCATCATCACCATCATCAGCATCATCATCAGCAGCATCAGCAGCATCATCATCACCATCATCAGCATCATAATCAGCAGCAGCCGTATCATCCTCACCAACATAATCATCATCATCGTCGTCATCATCAGCTTCATAGCATCATCGTCGTCAGCATCGTCATCACCATCGGCATCATCACAATAATCAGCAGCATCAGCATCATCAGCGTCATCATTGTCGTCGTGATCAACATCACCATCATCATCAGCATCATCACCATCGTCATCATCACCACCATCATCATCAGAAACACCATCATCAGCAGCATCATCACAGTCATCGTCAACACCATCATCATCAGCAGCAGCATCAGTACCATCATAAGCAACATCAGCATCATAATCAGCATCATCGTCATCACCAGATGCATCATCATCATCAGCATCATCGTCATAATCCTCATCATCATCAGAATCCTCATCATCATCAACATCATCAGCAGTAGGAGCATCCTCCGCATCATCATCGGCGTCGTCGTCAACATCGTCATCGTGGTCATCCCCTTTGCGTTGACCATACGCTGGAAACGGAGTCGTCACCTCCGTGACCTGCTCCTCGTCCTCCGACCCCGATGCCAACTCCCCCTCTCCCCCTCTGATGGCAGGGACGGCTGCGCTCGGCATGGCACGCCTCGTCGTTGGCCGCGGTGGAGGCGTGCAGCTTCCTCCCCTCTCCCCCCCCCCCCCCCGCGCCACGGCTGCATTCAATACCCCGATACAACAATTACAACCAAGCGGAAAAGCCAATGATGCGAGCCAGCTGGGCGCAGCAAGACGAGTCGGTCAAGCATAAACAGACGGATTAACCGTACAAGGTGGGTTGGCACGAGGCGCGAGGAGGACGAAAGAGAGAAGAACAATGAAAAACGATGGCAGCAACGGAGGCAGCGAGAAGGAGGCAGCGCACTAGCGGGAGGCACTCTCCTGTCCTGCCCCTGCTCCTCCTCCAAACCCTGCTGCTACTACTACTACTACTACTACTACTACTACAACTACTACTACTACTACTACTACTACTACGACTACGACTACGACTACGACTACGACTACGACTACTACTACTACTACTACTACTACTACTACTACTACTAATAATAATAATAATAATAATCCCTCGTTCCCGGGCGGCCCAGGCACCCGCACAGCCTTTGGGCGGGTGGCCACTCTTGCCCAGCAGGTCTCTCCATCCCTCCCTATCCTGCCCCCCTCTTTCCATCCTACCCTCCAAGAACTTCGGGGCCCCAAAGCCGTGCGGTGACGGACCGCGTGGTGACCTCGGAAGCCCCAACGATCTCACAGCGCGGTCCATCACCACACGCTTGGTTGAATCTCGGGGGCCCTGGTCGTCTGAGACATCCCCGGAGAACGACACGATTCCCGAACCGTGCGGTGACCCCGAATCTCCTCTGACTCACCACGCGGTGTGGTCACCACACCTTTGGGACGCCCTCGACTCCAGGGGCGCCCTCCTGTGAGACTGCTGGGGCCCGAGGAGGCCGCCCAGGAGGGCAGCACCAAGCGGTGCGGCCGCGCCCGGGACGCATCCTGTTGTTGGCGTGGTGGGCGCTCGCTAGGTGCTCGTCCAGCGTGTTGCCGAACACCTCCCCACGGCCCCTCTGCCCGCCTGGCCGTCCTCACTCCTCGCATGCTTACAAGACGAGGAAACTGCATGGACACAACCGTTCGGAGGTCCGCGCGAATTCCTTGGATCTGCTCTGAAACCCCTGCCTGGCGCGCGGCACGCGCCAGGGGCGGCGCTGGAGGCGCCGCCAGGCGGGCTCAGCGCCGATACAAGAAATGATTCCTATGTCGGTTTCTGTTCTTCGAAAGTGGCTTCCCCAAACCATCCTGTGGTGTTGGGTCATCGTTTGAAGACAGCGCCCCGCGTCCCTGCTATTTCCTCCTCCCCCTCCTCCCTCGTCCCACCCTTCCCTCTGCCCTTCGCACATGTACATGTCGGCACACACACACACCTCACACGCTTCGTGGCCCCATAGGGAGCTCCACCGACGGCCCCAGAGGCACCGTCCACATGTGGGAGTCACGCCCGCGCGCCTGCGGCGCTCAGCCTTGAATGCACGCGCCGGCGTCGCGGCCGTGCCGACACCTCACGAGCCTACCGTACATGATAGGATGTCCACTGCTGCCGAAAGCGTCCGAAAACCTCGGTCCTCGAATATCGATCATCGGTCCTCGAAAGACGACACGAACGATGACGACAACGACGACGACGGCGACGGCGACGGCGACGGCGACGGCGACGGCGACGGCGACGGCGACGGCGACGACGACGACGACGACGACGACGACGACGACGACGACGACGACGACGACGACGACGACGGCGGCGGCGGCGGCGGCGGCGGCTGCGGCGGCCACGACGACGACGACGACAATGAAAAATGGGGATCGAAGTGAGTCGGGACTCTCTGAGAGCCGGCGAGCTTGGCGCTGTCGTTCCAGCGCGCTCCGAACGCCCAGACTGCGCTCCAGGAAGCCCTGGAACGATTACCCAGGCCTGCCGGAACGACCCTCGAACCTCTTTGGGTGTCCCGAAACGCGGCGGTGACAGACCGTGTGGTGACCTCGCCATTTTTGGGGGACCCTGGGGGCCCCAGTCGCCCGGGACGCCCTCGAAGAGCGGCGCGAGCCCAGAACCGCGGGGACCACCGCGCCGTTCTGAGACCCTGGGGGCCCCAGGCGCGCGAGACGTCCTCGAAGAGCGGCGCGAGCCCCCGGGGACCGTGGGGCCACTCCGAGTGCCACACGGTGTGCGCACCGCGCACTGCCTGGGGCCCAGCCGCGGGGGGGGGCCCAAAACGACGACCCTCGAGCCTCCAAGAAGGACCAGGTCGGGGTCGGAGAGCGCGCTGCAGGCCGCCGCCACACACACACACACACACACACATACACACACACACACACTTTTTACGTCGGCGGTTCGGCAGCGAGACTGCGCTGGCGGAAGAGCACTCGGAGGGTCTACGAACGCGAATGAAGCCGCAATGTACGGGGGAGAGAGGAGGGACGCCCGGCGCGAGAATCACACTCACACAAAAAACATAGACACACGTATATATGTGTATATATACATACATGCATACGTACTTACGTACATACATACATACATACATGCATGCATGCATGCATGCATGCATGCATACATACATACATACATACATACATGCATGCATACATACATACATAAATACATTACATTACATTACATTACATTACATTACATTACATTACATTACATTACATTACATTACATTACATTACATTACATTACATTACATTACATTACATAAATACATACATACATACATACATACAGACAGACAGACAGACAGACAGACATACATACATACCTACATATATACATACATACATACATACATACATACATACATACATGCATGCATGCATGCATGCATGCATGCATGCATACATACATACATACATACATACATACATACATACATACATACATACATACATATTCATACATATATACATACATACATACATACATACATACATACATACATACATACAGACAGACAGACAGACAGACAGACAGACAGACAGACAGACAGACAGACAGACATACATACAAACATACATATATAGATACATACATACATACATACATACATACATACATACATGCAGACAGACAGACAGACAGACAGACAGACAGACAGACAGACAGACAGACAGACAGACACACATATACACACACACTTATTCGTCGGCCGCGAGGCAGAGCTGGCTGCACCAGCGAAGGAGCTAGACAGACACACACACACACACACACAGCGCTCCGAGGGCGGGCCTTGCAGAAGATGCAATAGTACTTCCCGGAGGCGACCAGCCACTCGCCATCCGCCTGGGGAGGCGGCGGAGGACTCGGGGGAACCTCGGCTACGACGCAGTCGGCGATCGCGGGGACGGACGCGAGGGCACCACAGGGGGCCCCGAGGCCTCCCGAGGACTACTGGCGCTGGCTCGCCCTGCCTTCGGCAAGAAGAAAAGACACTTGCAGACAACCCGTAGCACAAGTAGGGGGCCACAAGCGAACCCTACCCCTACCCCCCACGATTTTTGAGGGGGAGGGTGGGGTTCACTTCGCTCGTGACCTCCCGAGTGAAGTGAACCCCACCCTCCCCTCAGAAATCGTGGGGGGTATGGGGTAGGGTTCGCATGTGGCACCCTAACAAGGATGCGCGGTGAGGCTGCAAGGGCCCTGGAGGGCCCTGGTGGCGTTTTTCGAGCGAGGCTGGCCGACGAAAGTCGCCAAGGGTGGGCCGAAGGGGCGAGGATGCAAGGGCAGGCAGACGGACAGACAGAGCCCGCGCCGAGGCACCTGCGAGGGTGCGGCTGCTGGGCGCCGGGGCGCCGATAAGGGTTGTGGCCGCTCAGAAGCAGCCGGAGTCGGAGCGGTAAGAGCGGGAGTCGGAGACTCGAGAGCGGCCAAGAGGGGGGTGTCCAAGAGGGGGGGGTGCAAATCATGACCGGCGGCATGTGCACGGCCCAGCGGGGGGGCCAGGGACGTCATGAAATAGGAAGAGGCGCCATAAAATCTGGGGAAATATCATGGCCCCCGCCATGACATCCACCCCCCCCTAATTATCACCCCCTTCTCTTCCGCCCCCGAGGGACGGAAGCGGAGCCGGAGTCGGAAAGAGCCGGGAAGTTGCCCGTCCTTGGGAAAGTTGCCCATCCTTCCTATGCGGGTTGACCGCACCGTGTGTGGTCAGGGGCCAGAGGCGGAGGCGGAGGCGGAGAGGGAGAGGAGACGGCCCGCGGGCGGGGAAGCTCTCCGAGGTGCGCGGAGGGTTCCATAGGGTTGGCGAGGAGTCGGTGATGGCACGGCCAGCTCCCGCAACTTCTCCGCCTCCTCCGCCGCCTCCTCCTCCTCCGCCTCCTCCTCCTCTTCCTCCTCCCTCTCCTCCTCTTCCTCCTCTTCCTCTTCCTGCTCTTCCTCCTCCTCCTCCTCCTCCTCCTCCTCCTCCTCCTCCTCCTCATCCTCCTCCTTCTCCTCCGCCTCCTCCTCCTCCTCCGCCTCCTCCTCCTCCTCCTCCTCTTCCTCCTCCCTCTCTTACCTATGGTAGCGGTGGTGGAACATGGGCCCCTCAGCTAAGAAAGAGCACTCGTGGTCATCGTCCGCACGCCGCAGGCGGGCCAAGGCACACCCCAAAGAGTTCCGAGACCAGTGCGTTCTCACGTGAGCACCCCGTGCCGAACTCTCCCTCAGGGCATGGACCAAATACAGGGCAAGCACTGCGCGCAGCCTCGCGGCATAAGCTGAGGAGAAAAAGGGGGGTCAGCTCCCGAAGCGCTCATGCAGCTCACAAGACCAAACAAAGTCAAGAAAGAGATCCTCCGACAGGGTTGCGGCTGGCAGGAGGGGGGAGGAGGGAGGAACAAAATTAGCAGCAACACCCATTGAGGGAGGGGAAGCGAATCCTCTCGCACAACACTATCACCAGCGTCGTGCCGTGCTCCAGAAATGTCAAGGATGCGCTTTCGACAGCCAAGGGAGGATTAACACCGTCTGAACTCCCCCCATCGTGCACACAGGAGCCTCTTCTCTTCTGGTGGTCCTGTATTGTCCGTCTCGCGCGGAGCCCCCGTCGGGGGCGGCCCGTGTCTCCTCTCAGCCACTGGCAGTGCACTTGGCAGACGCGTCGCTTCTCTGATCAGAAGATCAAGCTAGCTGCGCGCCATCTTTCACATGCGAGATCGGTCAGCTGATGCAGAAGCCGAATCGCTCCTTGCTCGAGGGCCGTCTCGACCGCCGTGCCCGTCGACATCGGCGATGACCTCGCGGCCAGCAAGCGAAACCAAGCCCACTCCTCCTGCCGAGTCTCGCTCGGGCGCTCCCTGCCCTGAGCAGCAGGACGCCTCCCGCTTCGCCTGCCACCCGCGCGCTGGGAGCACGGTCAAGCGCAGGACCCCCCGCGGGCGCAAAGCAAGCACGGAGGGAGAGCGCGCCCTGGGGTGGCGCAGCACCGCAGCGTCGATGCCACCCGCGGGCGTCGCCGGCAAGGGCAGCGGCGATCGCGCGGTCAGCAGCCGAGCCCGCCCTCAACGCGCGTGGGCTCCTGCGACAGCGAGTCCCAAGCCTGCCACCCTGCCAGGTCACCAAGGCCTTGCCCGCCGCTGGAAGCACTCTCGGTCGGCCAGCGGGGAACTCACGAGCGGCGGCTCAGTCAGAAGGGTAGCCAATGAAGACGTCACAGTGGGGGAAGCAACGTGCTGATGTTGCGGCAGCGTTTCTCCATGGCGTGTTCCTACTATGACTTCTTGCGCTTCGGCTGATACTAAAACGTCAGGGACTCGCACTGGCCGAACAGCTTCTCCCGCGACTATTCGGTAATGAGACCTCCTCCCTTCATGGAGCCCAACGACGTCTCCGTACCACGACCCGCACTTTGGTATCACACGTCCGCATCGCACGCATTGGTGGCCAGGGCTTCTCTCGGAGCACCACGACATGTGCGGACGCTGGTGCCATGCGGTCGAAGGACTTTTTTGTCATTCCAGCAAGCGAAGGACACATTGCACACTGGCCACGCGCCCCTGCCATTATTAGTACACGTGCCCTCCTTCAAGAGGACCTCGAATAATTGAGACTAGCCCGATCAGTATCGACAAAACCTGGCAGCTTTTCCGCAGTCCGACTCCACCGAGAGACCAAAAACGCCCAAACATTACACAGCAGGAGGAAGGAGGCAGGAGGGCATCTGGAGCAGGGAGAAGATATTCCGCAATCCTTCTCCTCATCCTCGTCGTCCTCATCCTCCGTTCCGTCATTTTCCTCCACGTCCTCCTCGTCCACATCCTCCTTCCCCTGCCTCCTCTCCTTCCCCCCCCCCCCCTCCAAGTTCTCCCCCTCCTCCTCCTCCTCCTCCTCCTACTACTCCTCCAATTCCTCCTCGAGGGGAGGGGGGGGGGGCGGAGGCGGATGGAGCAGAGGGCGCCGACCTGCACGGAGGAGCCGAGCCACGCGCGGGCAGCGGTGACGGGGAGGGGGGAGGGGGGGGGGGGGAGACGAGGCGGATCAGGAGCACGGGACGGCGGCCAGGACGAGCGGCGGCAGGAGGCGGCAGGCGGCAGCGGCGGCAACGGCGGCAGCAGAAGGAGACAAAACAAGTAAGAAGAAGAGGAAGACGAAGAGCGAGAATTCTTAACGAGCTGCACGAATAATAAAGAATATACTATCAGATATCATATAGACTTTCAGTGCTCCTCGAGGATTTCTTGGACCTGCGCTGGACCACATCCCTGGTGCGCGGCGCGCACCAGGGGCGGTGCCGGGGGCGCCGCCAAGGGTGGGGGTCCAACGCAGATCCAAGAAACCTGCGCGGACATTCGAATATCTTTGATTGTGCCGGTATGTCTTCTTCGAGGCAGGCACTACAGCAGGCACATACAATAAGAAATCTGGCTGTGATGCACAGATGAGTTCGGCCGTCGGCTTCAAAACTCGGAGGGCCCATCGTGAGACGAGAAATGATCGCGGTGCACCCGCTGGTAGGCCAGTGTCAGATCAAATGTGCCAAGCTCACGGCGGCAACGGCAGCCGCAGCTGAAGCAAGTGGCGAAGAGGGGCCGAGCACTGTTCACAGGGCCGAGGCGAGTCAGGCAGCCCGTCTGGCCTTCACGTATCTCTTCCCATCGGTGTGCATCTTGGCTTCCAGGATGCAGTCGTCCCCGTTGTCGCTAACCCCCTCGAGCAGTTCATAGGGAGCGACGTAGGAGCGAAAGAAGAAGGTCATGGACATGTCTCCAACGGGATTAGAGGCGTGCTGACACCCAGAAACAAGCAGCAGTGTGGAAACTGATGCAAAAGAGCAGCCTCTCGTGACATGTTCGAATGGATCGAGCGCGATACGATTGAGGTCATTCTGGTAAGCAAGAAGTCTTGAACCCGCATACCAACGGCGAGAAACTTGGGCAGAAGGGGCGCTGTATATTCCAGGCTTGCAATCGGTGGCGAGATGCAGCTCAACATCACAAAGAGCCTGTAAACTAAACTTGGAACTTCAACTCCTACATATGGCCTCCCACACCCTCCCCCACCCTTAGCTAGCCTGCCCCTGTGATTCCAATGGGACCCGGGGATAGGTACATCCCCTTCCCTCCACTCTGCGCCCCTGCATTATCTGGCTCATCGGTCGGTAAATGAATCAATGTGCTTGGAAATCATTACCTTTGCGCCCCATCGCAAACCAGAAATACTGTTCTAGCATAGCATGTATATTCAAAAAGAACAAATGCCTCCGATGGGCACCGAGCCCCCCATGCAATGCAGAACGTTCAGCGCAGGTCACTCGCCTAGAAAGCCAGATCGCACGACGAGGTGGAAAGCTGCACTAGCCCAGTTCGTTTCATGAGTTGTGTTGCGCAGCAGTGCTCTAACACTGTCCAAACAAGCAGAGAGAAGTTCGCCACCACCCCAGCGAAACGTCGGGGTGTGCTTGAATTCCTGCTGGCTGCCTTGAAAGAAAACCCGTGGTTTCTCAGGTGCCTCCCCCCTACTCCTCCGGTGCGTCACAGCGACCAAAAAGAGGCGGCCCGACCTGTCCCGCCATGCATTTCCTGCTCGGTCCCCTCCACAGCCCCACGACTGCCCCAGAACGGCCAGGGACAGCCCAAGGATAGTTGCAAGATGCCCCAAAACCAGCTCAAGGCGGCCAAAAACACAAGCAGTGCTAAGATGTCAAGACGCCCGAAGGCGCCCCAAACGACCCCGAAAGGCGCCCCAGGAGCAGACCAGCAGTTACCCGTCAAGCGAGCAAGCATTGAACAAGCCTGGCGGGGCCCAAGTAGGATGCGCCCTACTCCTTGCAAGATCGAACCGTAACTAAAATGGCATGGCTTATCATGATACCACATCACGTAGCAGATCAAAGTAAAGAAGAGCATAATATAGCGTAGCATTAACAGCACAACGCCTAGAAAAATATAGTACCGCGTGGAACGGAACAGCATCGCAAAGCACATCTCATAGACCGCCCGCTGGGTGATGGGTGGGGTGGGTGCAGCTTTCGGTTCACGATTGGCTTCGCATCGGACTGCGTTGTGTGGTGATGGGACCTGTGGATGTGGTGGGTAGTGGCGAGAAGTGATCAGAAGTGGTGAGCAGCGGTGAGCTGTGCTGACTGGGACATGCTGTGATGAACTGTCTATCCGCCACATTGCCGCGAGGCCCTGGGTGGAGTGACCTCAGGTCCCTGAAGGTCCTCCCTATACTCTTCAAGGGACACGCAGCCCAGAGTTCCGGGCGCTCCAGGGCGCTCCCGGCGCTCCCCGCGTGTCCCCTTGCGATTTGTCCGGAAGCAGGAGGCCCCTGAAACAGGCCACGAGGGGTCCAGGACGCCACAAAAGTCCAAGAGGGCCCCGAGACGGCCCAAGACCTCCCCAAGACGCCCAAAATGGCCTCAAGACGGCCCAGATCGCCCCAGGAGGGCTCCGAAGGAACCCCACACAAGGCCCCAAGAGGTAAAAAGCACGGGTGTTGGCGTTCTCTCTGTGTCGGGCTCCCGAACGCCCAAGACGTTCCAAGAGGGAAGGACTCCGAAGGCCCCAAGGCGGCCCCAGGAGGTCACAAAAAGCGCCGTGCCGACAACGCCGCCGTGCCGACAACGCGGTGCCGTGCCGTGCCGAAATGGCGCGTGCCGTGCGCGTGCCATGCTCATTGGCGCCGTGCCACGCGTGCCGTTCCGCATGCCGTGCAGCGCGTGCCGTGCCCTGGGCACCGTGCCCTGGGCACCGTGCCCGCACTGCAGCCCTGAGAACGGTGCACCGAGGGTGTCTTGGGACGCACAAGGACATACTAGTACTGTGTGTCCTTCTTGGAGGCGTGCGTCCGACTCGAACATTTAGTACAAGCATCTTGCAGTATACAGCTTCCAGAGCGAGACAGCTTGAAAGCGCCCGCCGCGGCGCACATACTGCAAGATTTCTCTCGGCGCGCGCGTCGCCGCTGAGGGGGCGACGCACACATAAGATCAGCATGTTTGGGTGGCGCCGATGTCTTGCCTTGCGTTCTATGCGCGCCGCGCCGTGCGTGCCACGGCCGCCCAAAAGCGCCCTGGCGCGCGGGTCGTTCCGGGAGTGCCATCCTGGCGCGCCGGTGCGCAGCGTGGCGCGGCGTGCCGTGCAGCGCGTTTACCGCTGCGCACCCGCGGGGGGGCTGCGGATGCTGCGCTTGGGCTCTGGCCGAGGAGACGTAAGGCTCGAACGCGGGAGGCTCGGGTCGACCTCGCAGGGCCATGAGGATAATGGTGGGGCCAAGTCCGAAATCAGACACGGGCTCCTGCTGCAGAAATCTAATGCGAGCTGGACCAGCTCGAGTCTCAGGTTTCCCCGATCCCAAGCTGGCAAGTTGGTGGCCGGCAGATGGGCTCTGGCATCGGTCGCGGTGTGCGGTTGGACAGCCACATGGCGCATCCTTGACATGGTCGACATCGAACATACTCAATGATCGAACCCCGCTGCGCCATCACAAGGGACAGACGATTACTGAGGTCGTCCTCAGGAAGTGGTTTCTCGCCGATTGCTTCGTGTGCCCTCGAGGGCAGCCCAGACCGAGCAAGTCTTGAACCGCTTGGCTAGCCCCAGGCCTAAGTACGAAGCGGCCCTGGTTCCATGAACTGCAGTGCGCCTTGCTGCGACAGGTCTTCTTCACGCTAAACGCACTGGTTACAGCTGAGAGCAAGGCGAAATGTCCTGTGGAATCCAGTGGCCAGAGCAGTTGAGCAACACATGCGCGGTTGGCAAAGGTGATCCTGCTTCGGCGGCGTCGGCGTTCCGTCTTGCTTTCCAGCCTGGATGCTCTCCAGCAGTAGCGAGCCTCACCATACAGAAAGAAGTAATCAGGCATGGCGGCACATCCAAGCTGACAAGATCTGGTTCCTCTCCTCCCTTACGTATGTGCTGCCAGCGAATCGGCTCACTCACCTGCTGCTGTTTCCACTACCCCTGCACCACGTACCTTGTCCCCCTGCCTCTTGTGTCAGCGCGTTCGAGATCTTCTGCCATGGGTATCAAGCACAAAAAAATATGGATTCTAGAGCTTGGGCAAAACCAGCGCAGTCCACACATTGCGAACTAGTCGGATCGGACAACTGAAAAATGGAAGCGGGTCTGCGCTGGATGGGCCCACGGAAACTCTGTCAAAAGGGGGGGAAGGCAAATCAGCTCAAAATACGCCCCAGGACCCCTCCCGCGGTTGAAACTGACAAATTGTTCGAGCCGCGTCCAGTCGCGGCGACGAGGGGGTTCTTCTCTCCCCCATTTCTGTTGGCCGGAACGGAACAAGTGCTGGGCCACCTCAGCCCACCAGCTCGCTCTAAACTGAGAGCCAGAGCGCGGAAAACGACGACGACGACGACGGCGACGACGACGACGACGACGACGACGACGACGACGACGACGACGACGACGACGACGACGACGACGACTACGACGGCGGCGGCGGCAGCGGCAACGACGACGACCGCGACAGCGGCGACAACTGGTCCCAGGCCAGCGGCCTGCGCTCTTGCCTTCAGGCGTTCCGGCGGGCGTCTTGAAGGCGGGCTTGCCTGCGAGGGGAGTAAGCAACAAAGCAGAACAGAACAGACTGTAGGGCGCGAATTGTCGATGTCCCTCGGCGTCCACACGCAAGAATGGCACCTGAGTGGCCTCAAAGGAAGGTTCACTCATGTCTCCGGGCACCGCGAATGATAGAGGAGGAGGAGGAGGAGGAGGAGGAGGAGGCCAGTGCAAACCCAAGATTCATCAACGATGTTGCAACAAACACGCCTTCCAAGTTCCGTCCTCAGAGGCTCCTCGAAAGATCAATTTTCTCTGTGGCAAGAGCCCCGTTGAAAGAAAGCCGTTTGGAAATCTTCATCCGTGCCACAGCACCAGTCCTGGGAATTCAACGCCACGAATCAACGTCACTGTTGCGACCTGACAATCGTAAATTGTGCCAGAACACCATGTCTGGGACGTGAACACAGCGAATCAACGCGACCTGACAATTCTATATCGCGCCAGGACGCCATGTCTGGGGCGTCAACCATAAGAACCCTCAAAACTCTGGCAAAAAGCTTTAAAACGAATGTGCGCGGCGCTCAAGCGAGGGCCACTGTTCGAAAAAGGAACCGCCGTCCATCCGTGAAACACTTGCAACAATTCAACACGAATGCGCGGGGCGCTCAGGCGAGAGCCACATTGTGAAAACGGCCCACCCTCCATCCGTGAAGCTCTTGCGAACTGTTAGAACTAATGTGCGCTGCGCTCGGGCGAAAACCACATTTTGAAAACGGCCCGCCCTCCATCCGCGAAGCCCATGTACACTTTTCAGCATAAGCATCACACATGTTCAGGAAGTCTCAGGCGAAATGCCCAGCCCGCCCTAGTGGCGCGTGTCGGGGAGCGACAGGGAGGAGTGACTTCCAAGGAAAAGGGATGGAAAAGGAGGGGGAAAGCGGGGGAAGTTGGGCAGGACGCAGGACGCAGCATAGAACGGCGAAGCACTAGAGAACGCAACGACGACTATATAATACTGGGCGAGGGTGATAAAACACCAGCCCTCAAGGAAAACCAAGCAAATTACGGATTAGACTGGACGAGCCTGATCCCAGTTGCTGGGTGCCTGCCTTCCGAGAGCCAGTCCCTGGCTCGCCGGCGGGCAGGGTTAGGGGGCCTCGTGGGGCAGGACTCACCGAGGGCCTCGATCTTGGCCGAACCCGAGGCAACTCGGGCCCCGCAAAGCCCACAGAACAGGAAGGACCCTGCCCTGTGAATATGGTGCCCGTCGCACACGAGAAGACTCCCACCCGCCTCCGCACCCAAACTGGCAGCAGCAGCGGCATAGGCAGCCTCACCCTCCCCCTCGGCATGCTGGCGCCAACCGAGCAGCTCGGCAAGAGCAGCAAGCTGGCGCAGCATCGGCCCAGGCTCACACTTAGCCCCTGGCTTGTGCAACGACTTGGCACTGGCTGGAGTCCGAGCAACCGCCAAACATTGCCTGCACTGCAACGTCGAGGATCCCGGAGCCAGGGGCACGGTATCGTGAGCGACAACTACCAGCCTCGGCCTTGCCTCCTTGGGCGGCCGTGGAGGGGCTGGGGCAGCACCAGAAACATCTGACCGAGCACAAATAATCTGAACCGCTCGGGCCAGAAACTGGCATGACAACTTGCACTCTTTAATGGCCTCCTGGAGGGACGCGGCCGCAACGTCGGCAACGGCAACATCAAGGGCTCCAAGCTTGGCGAAAAAATCCGCCCATGCATGACCCATGAACCTCCAATTTCGCCGGCACACGCTCATTGCTCGATTAACCCCTGCAAACAGAAGTGCGCAGGAGTCCAGTGGAACTCGGGGCGCATATCTTAGCGAGCACAAGCACCAAATATATTGCGCCAAATTGACGCGTGCGGGGCAAGGCCATGCTCCAGGTTGGGATCCCAACCTTGCCCCTCGTGCACAAACGAAAAGCGATCACTAATTACGACGGGAGGCTTGTCTCCAGCAGGCCCCAAGGAAACAGCATCGAGCCCAGCCCTCCTTCCGGACCGCGGGACCGACTGGAAGCGCCCTGGGAGCCCGCCAAACCTGGCCCTCAAGGGCCAGCCGTCCTCGGAGATCTCGACCACGCTCCAGCCACATCGAGTGGCTTCGGGAACCGCACTGTGCAGCCCCGACCCGTCAGTGAACCTATACCTACCCCAGGGACCGTCCGCGAGACCCCAGGTGAGCACCGGCGGCCGAGCTAAGGGAGGGGGCAGTTGGATGGGGAGCGAGGGGAGCCCGTAGAGGAGAGGAACGCGATACCAATCAGGAGGACCGACATTGAAATCGTACCCTTTCTCCCGCAAGGCCTGCCTACGCTCCCAAACATATTCGGAAAAACCTAAATTGCCTGCGTCCTCCTCCCCAGACACGAAGGCACTTGAGCAATCGTAAAGTTGGTGGCCCAATGTGCCCTGAGGGGGGGCCTGGCAGAAAGTGCAAGCAGCGGACGGGGCCAACCCTTCCGCATGCTTGCGGGCTGGTGGCCACAATCCTCCAGACCAGAGCGCACGGAGCGACCCCTGCCGGGCCCCCGCGGGGAGGGCCAGAATCACAAGGCGCATCGCTCGAGCCCAGCAGTACTCGGAGCCCGTCGCTTCTGGCCAGTAGAAGGGGACCCTGCGCCAGAGCCAACGCTCCACACCATCGCGCAACAAATTGCGGACCTCGCTCGGCGAATATTCATAAAGCGAAATATGGTCTCCGAGGTCGGAGGTGAGAAGGTGGGGAGCGGCCATGTTCCACCCAATCCTGCGAAGGGAGAGGAACACCGCAGAAACCGGCCCAAAGCATTGCCTCGAGCTTATCCCGGATTGTGCTCCAAGCCATCCTCAACATACTAGGGGAAGTCCTACCATCCCAGAGCCAACACGCATACCTGGCGACCAGGAGGCATGTGGCGTCAAAAGTGGTATCATACAGCCTGTCCTTCTGCGTGCACGTGTAAACAGTGAGGGAGGCCAGGCCACGCCTAGCGCCTACCAACTCCCCTGCAAAAGAGCGGAGTTTCATGAGAGTGGAATCAGTGAGGCCTATCACACCAGCCCCATGGCTACCCGACGGCAAAACCCCCGTGCGCCACAGAACCCTGACCTGCAGACCCCCAGCCCTCTTAAGGGCGCGAAGCCGGCCCCGCCTCCCAAGCACCGCCCCCAACCTCTTCCTCTCAAGGGCTCTGTGGGCGGTGCCTCCAGCAAAGATGTCGTGGCCAAGATTTCGCGCCGCCCGTAATGCCTGGAGCTTCCGCCCGGCCGTCTCGGCTTCACAGCGCGAGCTGCTGCCGGCGAAGACGCAAGATAAGCAGACTTGGAGGCCTGCGACAGAAAACCTAGCTGGCGGGCATCGCTGGCGGGGAAGGTGGGGAGGATAAGGAGGAGGCGAAGAAGGATGAAGTAAGAGGGGGAAGAGGAGAGGCAGGGCAAGGCAGGGCATGGCAAGGCAAGGCGGGCGCGCGGTGCCGGTCCGACAATCTCGGTCCTAAGATGGCAACCCGCTGGGGCCAGAGGCCTGGAAGCTGTTCTTGGATCGGGATAGCCCGAGTGGTGGAGGCCAGAAAATGGATGCACACATGGGTCACTTAACTTTGCACATCGCGCCCCGCGGTACGCAACGCGCGTTGATCTTCGCGCCTTCGAGCCCTCGCACCGCCCCCTCGAAGAACGGCAGCCGCTCTGGCCCAGACCGCTCGCAAAGCGCGGTTATCTTTGCGCCCCGTGCGGTGACCTTGTACACGGACACGGTCGGCCGGAGTCAAATTCGGAGTCGGAAACACGTGAACCCGAGCCAGGGACATCGGGGTGCCGGAGTCAGGAGCGAAGACTGGAGTCGGAAAGTGGGGGCTGGAGTCGGCAAGGCGAACATGGGTGCTCCAGTTGCGGGAATGGGAGCCGGCACGAGACAAACAACGGCAATCTGGAGCGGCCAAGAGGGGGGTGTCCAAGAGGGGGGGGTGCAAATCATGACCGGCGGCATGTGCGCGGCCCAGCGGGGGGGCCAGGGACGTAATGAAATGAGAAGAGGCGCCATGAAATCTGGGGAAATATCATGGCCCCCGCCATGATATCCACCCCCCTAGTCATCACCCCCCTCTTTTCCGCTCCCGATACATCGGGAGTGAAGACAAAAGCCCTGAAGGGGCCTTTTGGGGCCCCAAGTTGGAGCCAACAAGGTGCCGAAAGGGTTCCTAGAGGGCCCTGTCAGCGCTCTTTTCTTCACCCCCCAGCTAGGTCACCCCCATTTCGGTGGCAACTCCTGGGAGCCTCCCATACCATCTTGTCGGCTCTTTCGGATCGATGCTCATCGACGCTAGTCGACGCTGATTCGACGCTGAATCCACGCAAGTCGGCGGTAACCGACGCTAAATCGGCGCTAGCTCATCGACTCCAAGACGCTGGTCGACGCTGGTCGACGCTACAGACGGAATTGAGGGGGTACACAAGGCTCCCATGATTTGATACAGAGCCCCATTGCCACCGGCCCGAGACGAGCGCGGGTGCCGATGGAAGGCAGCAAAGGGTGCCGAGGCGCATGTGAACGTTTTTCGAACGAGGTTGGCCAGCGAGAGTCGCTGAGGTAAAGGGGCCCTGGGACACACAAATAAATACACACAAATAACAGGATTCCCCATATTTTCCCATATTCTCTGGGTGTTCGTCCTCCCCCCCCACTTCCCATATTTTCCCATATATCCCTGGGGATCGACGATGAATTGTGTCTGTGTGTTTTTTCCCCTCCTGCTAAGGATGGGCCGAAGCGGCGCGGGTGCAGGGGCACCCTCGGGAAGGCTGCCCCTCCCTACTGCGCGGGCCGACTGTGCCACCCGACCGAGAAGAGCGCGGGGTGCCGAGGGAAGCCGGGGTCCAGACCGAGGAGCTGCCCGGAGCCCAGCTTGAAGTCGGGCCTGTCCCCCTACAGGGGGATTTTCGGATTTTCGACGAATAATAATATTATATTTTTTTCGTTTTTTTTCAATATATATATATATATATATATATGTATATATATATGTATATATATATATATATTATAAAAAAAAAAAAAAAAAAAAAAAAAAAAAAAAAAAAAAAAAAAAAAAAAAAAAAAGTCCCCAGACTATTCGTTCGTTATTTTTTTGTTATTTTTAGGGGTATTGTTTATTATTTGTCATCGAAAATCCCCCTGTAGGGGGACAGGCCCGACTTAAGCCCAGTTCTTCCCGTCGGGGGGCAGGAAGGGCTGGTCGGGCGCGGCCGAGTCGCCCTCCAGAGGCCGGCGAAGACCCCCAAATGATGTACCAAAGAAGGACCCCTACCCCTTTGGGAGGGAGCCCAAGTCAGGAGCGCCCAGAACCTTAGGGATAGGGGGTCTCCTCTGCAGATCTGTCGAACCAAACCGCCCCGACTCATGATCCTGATACTACGACGGGGACCTGACTGAGGCCACGTCTTCATCGTGTTATCAGGATTAGGGGCTCTTTTGTGCGCGATGACCACACGAGCGACGAAAAGACAGGGGTCTTACGCGAGACGCCATACAGTAGGAGCTCGACCACACGAAACCTTCCACAAGAAGCCCAACCCTGACCCCAGGACGTCCACGGATTTTTGATGTGGGAGCGCCACGCTCTCCACGGCAAGGCCATCGAAGCCCAAGAAACCCACGGCACCCTGGAGGCACGCACATGGGTGTTCGCTGTAGCACGCGGTGGCTTACGCAGGCCGCCCAGGGCGGCACGCCGCATGGGAGACGCGGGCGCTTACGCGCGACCCCACGCGGGCAGCTCACGCGCCAATGCCGAAGCAATCGTCCACATTTTCCTGCGTCGCCCAAATGCCTCCGCGGAAGAAGAGAGGACTGCACGAACACCCGCACTTCCGGAGGGATCCGCGCGGAAGTTCTCTGATCGGCGCTGGAAACCGTTTTTCTTTAAATCGGCAATAATCCGGGTTATCCCGGGGGGGGGGGGGAGGAGGGGGCCAGCCGATCACCTGACCCTCGCGCTGTGGGCAGCCCCGCATATGCCCGCGCCCCCCCTCCCGCGGACCTGCACAATCGGCAAGGTTGGGTTATCCTGGGGGGATGGGGGAAGGGGGGGAGAGGGGCAGGCCCGATAACCCGGGTTACCTGCCGTCTCTCGGACGTCCATTTCCCGTGCATTTTTCGGTTTCGTGCTTGTTTTTTGTTTGCTCGATGGTCCAAGATGGTCCTCGATGGTTCTCGCCGAGCAAAAATGCACACGTCCGAGCGATGCCAAGGTGATCGCCCGACCTTTTATTGTATGTATATATATACACATATATATATATATATATATATGTGTGTGTGTGCGTTTTATATATTTATATATATATATATATATATATTAAAAAAAAAAAAAAAAAAAAAAAAAAAAAAAAAAAAAAAAAAAAAAATCCTGGGCCCCATTTCTGTGAGGCCCCCTCCGCCAAGACGAGCCCCGCCGCCCTGCCCCCCCCCCCCCAGGGCCTGGGCGGCTGGCCCCCGGGACGCCTCCCCAGGGGCGGAGCGGCGGACCGGCGCGCTCCGCTGCTCGCAGAGTGCCTGCTCGCAAAATGGCCCGGATCCCCCCGCGGGGGATCTACGATACATTCTGCATCGAAGCAGGCATGTGCTTTTTTCGGGCGTCTGCGAGTGGGCACTCTGCGAGCAGTGGCACGCGCTCGGCGACACAGGAGGGGGCGGCCCTGCTCGGGTCGGCGGCGCGCCCCCCGGGGGGGGGGGGGCCGGTCGGTCGGACTCAGGCGGACGGCTTGTCCTCTGTCTCTGTCTCCGGGGGGCGGGGCGAATAGGGGAACGAGCTCCATACACCGACGCCTGTTCCGACCCTGTGCTGACATTCGCACAGGAACGCGGATCCTGGTGCGTACGGGATCCTGGTGTACACATGTTTCCGGTTTTCCCCTTGGAAAACGAGGGAAAGGTATACGCCACGCCACCCCGACGTCGCCCCCGACCCTCAAAGAGTCGTGGGATTGAAAAAACAACCCGCCACTGGTAATGTATATGTTCCAGTTTCCGAGAAAGGGGGAAGCGAGGGGGACGCGGACGGTCGATGATCAGCGTGGACGCAGGCTGAGGACGCTCGGTCGTGCTCACTCGCCTCTGCGTGTCCAGATGTCAATGGAGGCCAATCCACAAGAAACCTTCCAAGAGAAACCCAACCCTGAGACCCCAGGATGCCCATTGGTTTTTCGTGCGGGAACGTCACGCTTTCCATCGCAAAACCATCGAAACCCAAAAAACCCAGGGCACCCTGGAGGCAAGCAGGGTGTTTCTTGGCAGGAGCCTCCACTGTATGGGTGACATTCGTGCACGGGCTCCAGGGACCTGGGGGGGAAGCGGCTCTGCGACCCTCAGGCCGTGAAATGGCCGTCGGGGCCCCGGGCCACGCTCGGCACGAGGAGGAAGACAGGATCCACGGCGCGCGTGGGGAGATGGCAAGAGGGGGCCCAGCCCCCTCGGGAGGCGGCGGGCTTGGTCGCGAGCCCTCCCGCCGCCTTCCGCGAGGCCGCCTCCGAAGCCACGGGCGGCCTCCCAGAGGGCGCGAGACCTTCCGAGAGCCCCCGCCGCCTTCCGAGAGGGCCAGCCCCCTCTGCCCTCCTCCCCGGGGCACGCCGCCGATCCCTCGGACCCGACGCTCTGGTAAAAAAAAAAAAAAAAAAAAAAAAAAAAAAAAAAAAAAAAAAAAAAAAAAAAAAAACGCGGCATCGCAAAAACCACGACGGGAGCCCTGGACCCCATCTGTCCTCATCATTGTCCTACATCCCGTGGGCCTTCATTGGAAAGGACACGCGAGTGGACAAAAGACTCTTCCGAGGGCCACGTTGCCATAGGAATGTAGGAGGCATGGGTCGCGATACACAGGACACAAGGGCACCCTTGATTTGGCAGGGTCGACCTACTAATGCAGGCCGCCTGTAGCCAGACCGATCTGTGAGGGTCCCGGGGCCCGAAGCCGCTCCCGAAGACGAGGCCGGCTGGGTCCAGCACGGACGGGTGATCCATGTGCTGCCAGAGCGGCGTGGGCCATGGCGCAGGATACCTGTAGGACGCGCCCCGCGCGTCCCAGGGCCGCGGGCCACCTCCGGCCCGAAGGGGAAGGAGGGGCAGAAGAAGCAGGGAGGAGGGGGGCAGAGGAGAGAAGCAGGGACGAAGGCTGACAGACGAGGGTGGAGACGGGGGGGGCGAGCATGGCAGTGGAATGAAATACACCTCCCGCGAAGCGAAGCGACATGACCGAAACGCCGACCAAGCAGCTGCCGGGTGACAAGGAGGCTACAGGCCTCAGCACTTAGGCCATCAACCCTTCGGAACTCTTTCAATATGACTTTCTCGCGTTGGTGCGGGAGGCTAAGCCTCGAAGCTGGAAACAGGGAGGGGGGAGGGGAGAAGAGGGGAAAGGAAAGATGGGGGGCGGGGGGCAACGAGGAAAGGAGAGGCCGGGGGAGGGAAGGAGGCGAGGAGGTGAGGAGGGGAGCACGGGGGCGGAGGAGCAGGAGGCGAGGAGGCGAGGAGGCGAGGGGGCCAGGAGGGAAGGAGACGAGGAGGCGAGGAGGGTCCAGGGGAGCGAACGGTGGGAAGCAGGGGGGGGCAGAGGAAGCGTCGCCGGCCGCCCTTGCGCTGAGGTCGCGGGGGGGCGCGCCGCGCCTTGCAGCTGCTGCAGCAGACTGGCGCCCAGCTCGGCCCCGTCCTTCGGGGGCGAGTCCGTCTCCTCGGCGGGCTGGGGCGGGGGGGGGGGGCGGAGCTCGGAGGGCAAGGGCAGCACCAGTGCGAGGCGGGGATCTGTCCATGGCCACCGTCTGGGAGATCGATCTTGCAGGTGTGCCAGCAGGCGCCGTGTCCATGTATCCCGGGGCGCAGCTGTGTCCATATCCGCCGCCTGCCGAGGTGCCCGAAGGCCGATCCCCAGGTCGTTATGGACAAGTCCCCCCGCCTCGGAATCAAGGGCACGCTGGTCGGGCGGCCCCTATGAGCGTGTTGCTGAGCAGATGCCCAGACTGGCCCCGGTTTACAAGTTCGAGGCCCGCCAACCGCTCAAAACAAAAACTACCCTCTTTTGTGGGACACGGCTTCCTCCTCCTCCATCCTCCTCCATCCTCCTCCATCCTCCTCCATCCTCCTCCTCCTCCTCCTCCTCCTCCCTCCTCCCCCTCCTCCTCCTCTCCTCCTCCTCCTCCTCCTCCTCCTCCTCCTCCTCCTCATCATCATCCTCTCCCTCCTCCTCCTCCTCCTCCTCCCCCCTCCCTCCCTCCCTCCCTCCCTCCTCCCTCCCTCCCTCCCTCCCTCCCTCCTCCCTCCTCCCTCCTCCTCCCTTCCTCCTCCTCCCTCCTCCCTCCTCCTCCTCTCCCCTCCCCCTCCCTCCCTCCCTCTCCCCCAGCCGCCGCCCCGGTTCGAGAGGTTTGGGTGCCGTACCAGGTACGGCGACCTCTCCCGGGGCAGGCCACGCGCGCTGGCCCGCGCCCCAGTCCCGCGCGATCCGCGCCTGGGCGGCCTGCGGCCGGCCGCGCCCGCTCGCGCAGCCCCCCGCCTGGCCCGCCTGCAGGGCCCGCTGGCGGCGCTGGACCCCGCAGGCGCGCGCGCGCCGAGCCCGCGTGGCATCGGCGCGCGCGCCTGAGACGGGCACAGTCGCGTACGCTGCTGCGTGTCGCGGCCGCCGCTCGCCTCCTTGCCGCCCACCACAGTGCAATGGGCAAGGGAGGCAGCGGCAAGGGCCGCGCTGGTGCGACTGGCGGCACAGCCCCCCCGCCGTGGCAAGGCGCGCCGCCGCCCCCACCGCCAGGCTGGTGGTGCGATGACTGTGGCAGCTTCAACGGCCCGTTGGAGAGGCTCTGCAGGTGCTGCTACCCAGGCCCGTCGGGCCCAGTCGGAGGAGGCGGCCACGGTGGCTCACCGCAGCAGCGCCAGCAGCAGCAGCAGCAGCAGCAGCAGCAGCAAGAGCAGCACCCTCGCCGCCGAAGCACGACATCCCCAGGGACGCCAGCCCGCCGACGCTCCGTCTCCCGCCGCCGCAGGCGCGAGCGCGAGAGGCGAGAGGAGCGGCCGCGGTCGGCTCACGGGTACGCTTCGCGGACGAGCCCGAGCCAGACCCCGACGGCAACGGCGTCTCGGACGCCGACGAGGAGGTTCGCAGCCCAGCGCTAGGGATTCTCCCAGCTCCCAGCGCTGCCGCAGGAGGCGAGGCTGCACCCAGCGTGGGTTGATCCACCCAGCGACGAGCGCGCCTTGGCGGCGCACAGGAGGACACTACGGCAGATTGCCGCTGCGACAGGGAAGCGACTTCAAGCTTCCATCGACCTCGGGGCCTCCGAGGAGATTTTGACAAGTCAGAAGCTGGAGTACAGCGTCCAGCTGTGCATGATCATCACGGCCCGTGCGCCAGGCGAGCGCTGTGACCGCCAACGTGCATACGTTGCCAAGGCCCTGGGCAAGTTCGAGCGCGCCCGCGAGGCGGTCGAGAAGGCGCAGGCACGACTACAAGAGGCAGATGCGAAGTGCACGCAGCGCGAGAAGGAGCACGACAGGGCCAAGATGCTGCTGGACCAGCTCGAGGCGATGCAGATCGGCCCTGCAGCTGGTGGAGCAGCCGAGACGTGGACATGGGAGCGGACGAGGGGGCACGCGGACGCCAGAGGCGGGAGGCGTGGCGCCTCAGACGCCTCAGAGCACGCCCGTGCAGCTGGCGGCCATCGCTGAGCTCCAGAGCGGCCAGGCGACGCTCACGGCCCAGCTCAGCAGCTTGACGGCAATGCTGACGACGCTGCAGACCGCGATGGCAGCAGCAAGGACCCCAGCAGCTGCTGGCGAGGTCCCCGCCCCTCCTGAAGGCGGTGGCCCGCAGGTCAGGCCCTTCGCAGGCCAGCCCCAGCGCCTGGGCCGCATACCGACGGCCGAGGAGCTCGCGGCCGCCGCACCCGCCGCCGCGGCCGCGGTAGTGGCGAGCCCAGTCGACGGAGCAGCTGACCCTGCAGCTGCCGCCGGCCCCGCGCCGCCCACGCCCTTGGCTGCTGACGGTGCGCCTGCGGCGCCTGCAGGGACCGACGGCGAGGACCTCGCAGCGGCGCGTGCTCGTGCTGCCACGGCACGCCGTGCCAAGCGCGAGCAGGAGCGTGCAAGGCGCCCGCCAGGCCAGCCGCTGCTCGTGGACGCCATGGCCAGGCAGCAGCAGCTGGGCGGGCATCGGGGCCGAGGCTGCATCCCGACACCAGCTGGACGTGCTGACATCGCAGCGGAGTTCGGCGACCATGAGACGGAGGCAGCGGCAAGACGGACGCGGCACAGCCGCGATCGCAGCCCCCGCAGGCCCGACGGCTTCGAGATGGTTGGCGGTGCTGGTGCAGAATCGACTGGAGAGTCGACGCTGGGGTGATGCTACAGGGCAGGCGGGCTGCTGGGGGTGAGATGCCTGAGCCATCTCATAGCTCGCCTGGGGCTGCTAGCGCAGCCGACGTTGCTTCACATCCCCTTGATCGGATGGAGTCCGATCCGACGTTCCCCTCTCGCTCCAGGCCGCCTTGCCCCATTCCCGACTGTGAGTCAATTGTAAGAGGCCTGTGTATGCCCTGGCCCTGTGCTCACACGCTAACATCAGTCTTCTACGGGCCTCAACAGTTGCCCGACGCCTGCTATTTCCCCCCCTATCTTCATAGTAGCACACGAACCTTTTTTGAATCCCGCGGTGGGGCCCTTCCCCCCCCCCCCCCCCCGAGGATGAGGTTATCAGGTATGAGGTGCGTACGGACGGATCTGGTGGATCTCGGGTGCAAGTACTGGGTGGACCACCATCATGGGCTTAGTGCATGTACTCAGCGACTGCAACACAACAGTACACATGTGAAGGTTATATATGTGGTGTTGACCCCTCCCTCCTCGACCTGCCAAGTGCATCAGGTGCTGCTGAATGTCAAGCTGCCCTATGGCTAGTGCTATGGATGTTGCAGGCTCCCAGCAGATTCAGGTCCAGGCCCCTCAAAGTCTTCACGGACAATATCCTTGTAGTCACATCGGCCCAAGGCGGAGCGCACTACTCATCATGTGGGGGCGATCCTGGGATGTTCGATGGGGTGCTGAAGCTTCTCCGCTGTTTTACCACGGCACGTTGGAAACATGTCCTGGGACACAATGCCGATCCACGGAACGAGCTTGCAGATACCATCGCACGTTTAGCCTACATGGGCCTGGCACCGACGGTGCCCGACGACTTTCAACCGTGGTCTGCGCTTGGAGGCGCCGCCGCCGCTGCTGTGCCCTGGCTGTGGATGTCAGCTGTTACCAACGCCAGCGACGGTCAAGGGGTATACCCGAAAGTTGACGTGAGTGAAATGCCCAGCATATGTCCACCTCTCTTAGATCCCCGTTGCGCGTTCTCGCCGCATGCAGGACTCAGCTCGGAAAGTGGAGACACCGTCCATTCGCCCTCCAGTTCAGGTCTCCATGCCTCTGTCAGGTTTGCAGTGGCCCATGTTCTCACGTGACGGCCCAGGAGGAAAGCAGCACGGAAGGGAGACAGGATGCGAATACGATGTCGGTATCAGGACGCAGCAGGACTGGATACCCCTGGGCGCATGCTATCCTTGGCGTGCTTCTTCGATGCGCGACAGTTTCTCTTTATCGGCACGCTTGAGACTAGAATACGACGCAATGGATGGACGCCAGCCGCTCAATATCTCGTGCTCACCGCAGCCGCTGAACAGAAGGGTGCAGGAGGGGTAGCATTGTGGGTGCACACAGGTATTCAGTACGTGCGCGGTTGTACGCTAGCTCGCCGCCATCTCCGTGTTCTCAGCTTTGCCTCCCACCATATTATTGTTGCTGTGCGTGCGCCACATCTGTGCGTCGACATATTGGTTGGGCATGCTCCGCACTCCAGACGTGACAGCGTCGAGGTTGATGAGTGGTGGGTAAGTATCGAACGCATTCTGCGCCAGCGCCCGCATCCCGCACCCCTGTACTGTTTGTTGGATGCCAATGCTACTCTGGGCTCCAGGGTCTCGGAACATGCTGGCGAGGTTGCCGCCGAAAACGAGAACCACACCGGTGCACGTTTCCATCAGTTTTTGCAAACCACGGGACCAATTGCCCAGTCCACGATGTTACCCTCGGCTTCTGGGGCCCACGGTACCTGGCTTCCCCCCTGGGGCTCAAGGGACGGACCCACGGCATCGCATTGACTACATCACTGTGCCATGCGGACAGCTATCGTGCGTTACACGACAGTCAGTGGAAGTGGATCTTGATCTCTCTTTGCGTAATGATGATCATTTTGTGGTGTCGGCAGATGTGCATGTGTACCCATCTCTGCCATATCAGCACGCACACATGCGGTCCCGTTTACGAGTGGACGAGTGGACGAAGCGAAGTACAACGATCCAGAGTGTTGCGCCGCATTCGTGCGCGAGCTTGAGTCAGTGCCTCAGCCCACCTACCAAACCCACCCGGACGACCATGCTGACCACTTGAACCAGCACATTTTGCGTGCAGCCCAGGTTGCTTTCCCGCCCAGCGTTTCAGACACTGGCCGACAAGCCAAACATGGTTGGATATCCAAGGGATCCCTGGACCTTATGGACATAAGAACTCAAGGACGTGCGGCCCTTCGGGCCCTTCGGTCACAACTGCCCCGCCTACTCCTCACGTGCGTGTTCACTGCATGGGCCACCGACGGTGCTGAGAGTGGCACTTGGTTTTGCCATCGGACTTTGAGTTGGCGTCATT